TCTCCCAAGTTCTCAAAATGCCATTCAACTATCTAACGTTCTTCTTGCCCATTGGATTGCCTCTTCTAGGAATATACACAATTTCCATCTTTTCAAAGCTTTAACCAGACTTCTGCTAAACGGTGAAGGAACATAACTCCACCAACCCTTTTGACTTTTTTCCTTTTCCTCTCCTCTTGAGTTTCCTCTACGTGATCTACTTTCATTATAGTACCATCATTCCCATCTTTTCTTTTCTCAATAGCCAGGGTTGTATCCACTTCTAAAGATAAAGGGAAAGCTTCATTTTCTTGAAAACAAAGCTGAAAATTCTCAAGGATCTCTACATAATCCTCTACCCCTCTTTCGTTTTCCTTTACCACATCTTTTTCATCATCAAATTTTTATTGCAAAGCTTAGCCTTGGTATTGCTTGTAGAGAAAATTTTCCCCTTGTAAAAAAAAAAGACTTTTCCACGACCCTTCTCTAAATCTTCCACAAATTTGACTAATTTTCCCTTTCCTCCTGAAATTAGAGGGAAATTTGGAATGTCTCCCTGATGCAAAGGACCACTGTTACTTTGACTTGACAGGGGAGTCTGTATTCGTGTGGAGCTTGAGCGAAGGCTACGATCAACCGTGTGGGGTCCACCGTCAGTCTTCTCAAACATGTGATTCAAATTTAGGTAGAAGACTGAAACCTCTCCCTGCAACATTGGAATATTCGGGTAAAAACTAGTTACTGATGAGTAAAAAAAAAAAAACTGTCCCTTAACCTCCACAAATCTATCAGATTAGAACCGGATCTCATGTCATTGTCATGGAACCTTGTGGCTGCTTCAGACTAAAGTCCACTGTGAACTCAACTTTCTTTTAGGCCAACAACCAGCCATCTTGGAGCACAATCATCTGGGAGGAAGACACTTGTTCTCTATCAAGGATTTTCACTTCATTGGGGGATGAATCCACAGTAATTCCTTGCACTTCAATTGCAACTTCTAAGCATTCAATGAGGGAAGAGCTTTGATTTGCATAGTCCACAAAATCCCCTCAAAGCAATCAATTATCGCCTTGAATGTGGCTAGGCTCCATAAATGCAAGGGATTTTTTTTTTTTTTTTTTTTTTTTTTTAATTTTATCCAACCCCTGTAAGAGGGGACCCTTGTAGTTCTCTCGTTCTCCCAAGGGACCCGTCTTTCTAACTTCATTGTAAAGGCTCCTAATGTAACCCCCCTTACAATCGTAGCTAGTAGCCTTGTACACTTTGTCAAGGGGCACAACAAAAGGGCTTTATCAGGGAAGAAAAGATTAACAGTGAAAGATTCCTCCGGCTGCTTGTCAAGGGTTTCCAAAAATTTTGCCCAATCATCGTGGAAGTCTCTTCTGGTAATAACCAACGGTTTAACCCATTTAAAAAATGTAAATTCCTTCTTATCCGCTTCTACAAGACTAAAACCCTCCTCCTCTAACATACTTGAGGAATCTTTTTCTCCTTATTGGTTTATTTTTCAACACTTCTGCAAAGGAGGAGCCTTCACACTTCCCTTCCATGAGGGTTTTATTTGAGAGCTTCTTTGGCTTCTAATTTGGTTTTCATGTTTCATTCAAAATCTCTATAAGAAGTTCCTTGAAGGACTTCCAACCATCTAATCTCTATCAGAAGGAACAACAAGATTCATTGGTTCATTTTTCAACACCTCTTCAAAGGAGGAGCCTTCGCACTTCCCTTCCATGAGGGTTCTATTCTGGAGTTTCTTTGGCTTCTCATTTGGTTTTCATGTTTCATCCAAAAACTCTATAAGAAGTTCCTGGAAGGACTTCCAACCATCTAATCTCTATTAGAAGGAACAACAAGATTTCTCTTACCTCCCAATCTATAAACCTTGATGATCTCAAGAAAGGAGCCTCTTTTGTTTGTAATCTTTTGAGTCCAAATAAACCCATCACAACAGTCAACCTTTCAATAGAACTTTGGAGAGTGCAGGGCAAGCAGCAGCAGATACTCAAGGGAGTTAGTTAGCCAAACAATCGTAACTTCCTCAAGAACTAACTTAAACCTTTTATTTTAAATGAGATTCCTTAATCCTACATTGTCTACCTTTCTTCCTTGGACCAAAACCATAAGAGAAGGTTTTGTTTCTATTTTTCTAGGAACAAGACCAGCAACCATCATGAGCAAGGAGCACTAGCAACAACTACTGAGAAAAGTCACCAAAAAAACCTCAGGAGGTCACGAGAGGCAACATTCAAAATTGAACTTCACTTTAAGCATATAAGTTTTAAATTTCTCTTTAAAACATATAAATTATCATTTCATTTGTAAACAACAACCTGTGTATAAAAGCGTGGGACAGCTATGAGGGCATTAACGATGTTGGTCAGGATATTGCCATCTGGAGGAGGATAAGCATACCTAAAAAAGTGTTTACCAAATTTTAACAAATGTACAACCAAATACAATTGTCTCCATAGAAACTTGGTAAAGAACAAACAATTTCAATCAGATCAATAACAGTGGAAAATCAAGAACGTACAGTATTTTGAAGAAAATGAATCGAATCAACACAACAACAGGTGATGCAGTGCAGAAGGTATCCAAAGAATATCCGTACCTTTTCCGTTTAAGGATTGTATATATTTTCTCTTTGGATTGTTGGAATTGTCTGATTAACCTATTTTTGTGGGCAAGTATTCAAGAACATCATCCACATAATCGCAAAGAGTTTCATTTTCTCCACATTTGATTTAGACAAATCTTTTATAGACATATAGGCTAGTGCCACAGAATTGTCTAAATTACATCACTAAAGAGAAGAACTATATCACTGTTTTTGGACCAACGACTTACAGAACTGATCTATGTCATTCTCATTAAATGTTGATTTAGTACTCCTATAATGTTGATTCAGTACCTTTTGTGAGGCTCGTTTAAACTAGAGTATGTCGAATTGTGTAGATGCTCAAAACTTTAATACAAAAGTTCGACAGTTTAGAACTTACAGAACACCTTGCGTTTTCAAGAAAATGAAACATTAAAGAATCATCAATTTCAACTATCAATCTTAAAGAATTTGTAGACCTAGCATACATAACAATACATTACAAATTATAATGTAAGATGAAAACAATAAATAGTGGTAAGAGCACCGTACTCCAGATGAGGAGGGAATGGATAGTCCACACCAAGCCTTGCAGCAATTGGCTCACCAAAATGCAGAGGCCTTGCTCTCATACCCTCAGTATGATCTTTACTCCTGTGGTCCTTAGGCGTGCAATCTTTGATGGCAGCATCATCCATCTTGGAAGATGAGGATCAACAAAATTCTTCGTTTACAAAGATACAGTCTGTTTAAATCTATTATATGAAAATGGTGTCGCACCGCTTTCCTCTGCTAAAAGTTCACCAAGAAGCCTCAGCCTGCCACCAAAAGAAAACCAAATTAGAAAAATGTAATCTCTATCACTGAAAGCATATACTCAAAAAAAATTGCTGTCTCACTTCCTAGTTACGGTAGCTCGGGCTAGAATAAAGTAGATATTTGTTGCTAATGGCTATCTGAGGTGATAAAAACAAAACAAAAAAAAAAAAACAATCATTCAATCGTGATTGCAGCAATCGTAACTACACCAAGTCTTCACAAAAATACGCAATAGTCACAAACGAACCTTGAAGCAGCCGAATGAGTGAGAGACTTACAGGGGAGGGACGAAGGAGAACGATAAGTCGGAATAGAGAGGAGCGATTCTCGAGTCGACCAGTGACGATTCTGCATTCAGAGACGAGGGATGGAGACTGATGTCGATGGGAATCGTACAGCGAGCTGAGAGTGAGCGAGATTGCTTGGGATTCAGGGGAGGGCGGGCAGCAACCGCGAAAGAGGCTTCATTTTTTCTATTTTCTTTTTGCTTTTTTCTTTTTTGTTGAAACGGAAAATAGTGATTTTTTCTTTTTTTGTTCCTTATTAAAATTATTTTGGGTTAAAATTGCTTATTAAAGCTGGGCTAAATTACCTTTTTCTCCTTGAAGTTTGCGTATTACTTCGATTTAGTTTTTAGAGTTCAAGATGACAATTAAGGTACTATTAAATCTGTGTTTGAAAGTATAAAAGTAATTTTGATTGCTCAAAATCATTTTTCACATCCAAAATTATTCTCTAATATTTGATTTTACCATACACGAGAATTTTTTGTAATAATTCTTCAATCAAAACTAAATCGAAGGTAAAAAAAATGAAACATTTGTTCAAGCTTAAAGGGTAATTTGATAAAATTAAAAATTTACATATACATCTTATCAACAAATTTGGATGTGAAATTGAGCTACAATGATCGTAATTTCATTGTACTAAGGAAATGATGGAAGGTTTTCACTTCATAGACTAAAATGCTACCAAATTGTTATATACTAAAGTTGAATCACTACCTTAATGTATTTTTTTTAACATTTCTTAACATATTTTATATTCTTGAATTTTGGTGGTGGTATCAATTAAATTTCAAAATTGACAATTTTACTATTTTAATTGCATGTTACCTCCATAACTTTTATATCAAATATCATACAAAAGTGGTAACTTGATCTCTTTCAACAAGTACTAAGCTTAACAAATAAAATCAAAATCAAAATAACTTTATTTTAATTATTTTTATCTTTAAAAATTCATAAAAAGTAGTAAAAAAATCGATATTTTTTAGTTTTAACATTTGAAAATCGGTGATTCATAATTGTAATATCTTAGTCAATGATACATATCAATAAAGTTCTACTCACTTTTCTCCCGACTATATGTAATAGTTCTATATATATTAGGTTGACTCCAGACATTTTACAGCATATATACTACAATTAGGGTATATAATAGGTATAATAATTTATTTAGGAGTAAAAAATACATATACTATAAATAACATATAAAAATATTAGGATTCTTGTTTGCTTGATTTGTAAATATCAAGTATGTTCCATGCATACAATCTCTTATACAAGGTATTTAGATTTAGGGTTAAAATATCAAGATTATGTATCACAAACTCACTTCGATTGTCAATTTTATATTATACATGTATCCCGAAAGTTAAATTTTCAAATCTCTATTCAACCTCTATCCTTACTCTTGGATCATGACATTCTCTATTAACAACAACCAAAAAAAAAAAAAAGAGAGACATCTTAAATTTGGATCCCCACCTCCCACCTCAGTACTAAGGATGTAATATTCTTTAGAACAGTTTGTCAGGGTTACAATTTTTAACTACATGATTTTCCATCTTCGCCTAAAACACAAAACCAATCAAATACACAACTCAGTATCTCAATTGTTTCACAGTTTTGATATATGCATGATTTTGATCGAAGTTTAAAGATAAAAATGAGCATGCATTGGTTATTCGTTAAAACTAAATATAGAACTTTTCTACTAGGTTTCATGGAACTAAGTTGCTTCCTTGATGTAGACACCTCTTCTAGCCTAGCTTTTCAATCATGGTTCGAATCAATTTTCCAAAGCTGGAAAAAAAAAATAGCCCTGTTTGAAATTACCTTCAAAACTGGATGTGACCATTCTGAAGTAAATTTCGAGCATTGCATAAAATAGTACTGGCTTCCTCATTTGATGAATCAAGCAACCGCAGCTCTTTGATCTCGTGTTGCCATCTTTCAACATTATTCTTGTGAATGCTGGAAAGAATGAAAGAAAGAACAGTAATTAAGTTAATAAAGTAGTTCTCAACAAAAATGTTTGAAGGTATATATTCTAGTTTCAACTCACGCTATGATTTGCTCTTCAAATTCATTACTAAGATCTTTGAAAGCAGTCTTTCCCGACTCCAGGAGTTCAGACACCTTCATTAAGAAAAAATTAATGTGGATCAGTAGAAAATATTTGCAGCCAAACAAAAACTTGAAAACAATACATACTATTGCAATATAACCCAAGTTCTAGCTACTTCCCTTCACATATTTCCATGTTCATATAATATCCTATACTTTAGGACATTAGCCCATGTGACTCTACTTTTGATTTCACCCAAAAAAAAATCTGATATAATGTCTCTCATTTATATACTCATGATCTTTTTTATATCTAGTCAATGTGGGATTTTGGTCGCACTCCTAACACTGAGCTCATATTTCCAGCTCAATAGGATTGGTCATAGCCACCACCTACCAGTTGTGTGAAGCTTTCGATCTTTTCTAGTAGGCGAGCTATATTGGATTCCATCTCCTCGGATCCCCTAATGTCCGTCTCACACTGCTCATTTTCTGAAATGTTGGACATGCTTGTATCCTTTCCCTGCTCTTCCATCTGAGGAAATGTAATTTCTCATTTCCATTGGCAATGGCATGATAAATAACGACATAGAAAAAAGAGTAAACATACAGCTAGTTTCATGCGTTTGCCAGTGAAGTCGATACCATTGCTTTCCATTCCAAGTATGCAATTGTTTATCAATCAACTGTAGCAAGGTGAGAAGTTATTTATACAAAAATATTCGTATAATGAGAAGAACCTAAAAGACTTCATTGTAAGGATTTGTCGTTGCCATGTGCTTCACAGAGAGGGATACTCATACGACAAGAGGTAGACTGATTGAACGCGTAGCAAACAGAATTTGGAGATAAGATTAACAGATTTTGGACCCGGACGGGCAGTAGTAAGCGTCTAATAGTTAACACTCTGAAATAGATGCACAAAAAGGCTCAAATTAGAACAAAAGTTCCAGTGTTCGTCCCCTAACGTCATGCTGCACACATCCAGACCTTGAAATTCTTCTTGATAGCATAGCAGCTAGGAGGCGCAAGACATTCAACAGTCGCAAAAAATAAATAAATTTAAAAAAAAAAACAGTGTTGACTACAAAATTGGCACAAGTATACGATTATTCGGTTTTTTCGTCTTGCCTATTCAAATGAACTTCAAAAATGTACACCACGACACGTTAAACAAGGAATCATTCTGACTACCAATACCAATATTTGAAAAGGAAAAAAAAAAAAAAAGGCTAAAACTCTAGGTTTCCCAAGGAATCGATACTAAACTGTTTATCATCAGCCATATTTTTCAGTGAAGTTGATTCAAGCGTCAGTTTACTAAACTGCGATTATCGAATTTTAGGACAACTTGAAGAAATTGCATAATGAATGAAGAACAGCAAGATCAAATGAATAATGATATGGAGCATTCTAAAGATGGAAAAAATAGAGTTCGATAGTCTCTTACCAATTTTCTCCGCTGATTGCCTTCTCCACCTCCGTCGGTTTAATGATTTAGCGCGCCAGAATACGAGGGAATGGAGCCATTTTATACTCGATTTTTAAAATGGGTCAATTTTATATTGCCCAAATTATAAAAAAATAAATAAATGACGCCTAACTTTGTTATTTAATTAATTAATTTATTTATTTTCATTTTAAAAGTTGCAATATTATTTATTATTTTTATATTGCCCACCTCCCGATTCACTCCTCGGATTCAATTCACTCGCACGCCACAGCGTACGAAAGCGTCTCTCGTTCGGTAGGTCAGTATTGTTCATGTTCATATGCCGTTCTTCTTAATAATCCTTCCCATGGATCCTCTAAGACACTGGATTTGGATTAATCTTCTCTTGATATTACATTAATTTGATCAAACAAATCACCCAACACTCCCTCGTCAATGGGGAACTCCTTCACGTCTAAAAAGCGATCTATGAACGTATTGCATTGTTTTGCAAGGCGTCTTCATTTGATTTCTTATTCAAATTCCATGATATCTGTTGAGTTAGTGGATTATGTGTTTGATATGCGTCAGATTATTGATTGATAGAGGATGGGTTTGTGATAGGACTTAGCTAATGGAGTTTTGCCCAACTTGTGGGAACATGCTGCAATTTGAGTTACCCAATATGGGTAAATCTTCTAGATTCTTTTGCCCGACTTGTCCATACGTGTCTTACTTGGAGAATAGGGTATGTGACCAGGCCTCAAGTTGTTTATAACTTCCCTCTTTTTGCCTCTTAATTTCTTATGTGGTGATGCAAGGAGTGTATTCTCTTGATTCTACGATTCAGGTAAAGATAAAAAGAAAGCAGCATTTGGTGAAAAAGGAATTAGAACCCATAATCTCTGATGACGATATGAAAAATGCAGCTCAAACCGAAGGTACACATCTTTTCATCATAGCTCTGGATATTTTTTTCTCAGTGCTCAGTTTTTTTTTTTTTTTTTTCAATTAATTTATACGTGATGGATTTAGGCAATACATTTAATCATATAGATGAAGCATTGATTGACATTTACAATTGTACTAGTGTTTTTATATTGTATTATATGGTAATGGTAGGCCAAATTAGTGTGCAGTTATTCACTTCCAATAAATGTAATTTACAAAGGATCCTAGCCACCATATGGAAACAAGTAGATAAATGGAATCCCAATGACTGAAGTTGTAAGAGTTCTAGAGTGATTATAAAAATGACAAGGTCCTAAGTTTCTTACCTAGGAACGAAATCTTTTAAGACTCTTTGGCAAATTTTTCTTATCTTTAAGCCTAACAGATGTTAAAAAATGAAGTCCTTTAAGCCATTTTAGGCACAATGAACTTCTAAACAAAGAAAATTATGGAGTGTCAATTCTTCTTTCTCTCTACAAAGGACACACCAACTGAGCTAGAGCAACAATGAAAGCTTTGTCTTTCAGATAACATGGTTAGATTGACAGACGACATGAGGACTGTGCACATTTGGGGAACCTTGGACTTCTAAATTATCTTACACAACTTCATTGGGATAATGTCCTGTTTAGGGACAATTGATTAGTAATGATAGTTGGCACGCAAAAGCCCTGTAGTAGTGAGGCTTCTTATTTTAGAATTGTAGTTGAGGGAATCATAGATGATATGTAAAGGGCTATCACTCCTCAATTTAGCTGTACAAAAGCTTTCTTCTAAACCTCAAATTAAAAGGATATCCTTATCCACACGTCTTTGGTTGAAATGGCCTTAGGTAAGGGGTTTGTTGGAAGAGTGGTTATAAATTGGACGGGTTGGGGGGAGGAATCGTTGGAAAATAGTTTTGTGGGAGAGATACCTTTTCCATAAGAATATTACACAATACTTTCAGCCCTATCTTCATATTTTCGAATTTCAAACTCCATCTTGAATCTTTTTAAGACCTGACAGAAGCACACCTTCATCCAGCTGAAAAGTAGCACTTTGTTTGACAAGGGGGCTAACTTTTCAGCGGACTTCCATGGGCCTTTACCCATAGAGCATTAGAGGAACCCAAAATGAACTGACCAGAATAATCCCTCCCATTGTCCCATTTTTTACTTGTAATAGTTTGTGCTAAAGAAATTTGGGTCTCTAGCCCCAAAAAGATTCAATCCCTCCTGTCTAATATTACCAACATTTAACCGTCTATTTGGTAGGCATAGGAGACCATGTTTCATGTAACCATATGTCTACCACATTTGGCAATCAAATTCTCCTAGAGGAAGTTTTAGACGTAGATCTCAATTGTCGCAGCAACTTCATACCGTAAACGCTGAAAGATAATGCCGGAGAAAATCAATGAAGGCCAGTTGAGCCAACCCAAGACCCCTCCCTTGGGGGTTTCATTCCACTTCATCAACTCAGAAAGATTCATTCTTGCCTTGATAAATTTATTGAAACTCGAAAAAGTAAATTAAAAAGCTTCTGAATATTTAGGAGGTTGGTGATTTTAAAGATTCTAGACAATATTATCTGCGACGTTCAATGAGTGGGATGAAACATGAATCTTAACTTCCTTAAGAACCAAAGCTTCAATAATTTCCATCTTCATACCCAAGGAGGGAAATCTGTTCAAACACCCCACCACCAAGATACCACAGTGGGGAGATCAAGTCGTCTTCTCTAAGAACTGTGAAGGTAAGATTTTCTTGATAGAATCAAGTCAAGGAAATTTCAGTCCACTTTATTGTAAGCATTCTCCTGATCAAGCTTAAAGATGAGTCCTTTGTTTCCTTCTTTCCTGTAACTCGGCCATTTCATTTGCAAGTGAAACAGGATCATCCATTCATGTCTTGTATTCTCGAATGGATGACTTACATCTTAAATCTTTTAACAGATGGTAAGCAAAGTAGGTTTTAGTCTTTAGTAAAACTTGTTAGCATTACATGGTGCTTCCTCTGAATCTTACGTTTGACCCTGTGGTGAGAAGATGCACCAATCAAGTCTTTAAAACTAGAAATCAACATAGCTTTTAGTCTTTCACTGCTTGACCCCAGTGAGTTATGCTCATCACGGAGATGGGGGCAGGAAGTCTTTGTAGGGTTTTCGAATATCGTTTATATCTCTGTGTTTTTCTTCTAAATTTGTTTTTGTTTTTGTTTTTGTTTTCTGCCCATTGCTGTAGCAACATGTCCAAATTGTGGGTTTGGCAAGGCTGCATTCATACAAATACAACTGAGATCAGCTGATGAACCTGCTTCAACATTTTACAAGTGCATGAACGAAGACTGCAGACAGAATTGGCGTGAGGATTAAGTGCCCACGAACAAAAGTATACGTTTGTGAGATCACAAGTTTTTCATTACTGATTTTCTAACCAAATTAGAAGTAATTTCAATGAATAAAATATTATTTACATGAACGGCCTTGTTGAATAGGATCTATTCTATAGGTTCTACCTTTATGTCCTCGAGTTCTAAATAATTTGTTACATGAATTACATTTAGAATGTCGTTGGCTTGATGAATGATAGAAATTTTGTTCTCCGTTTGTTAGTTTTTATTTTTATTTTTTACTTTTAAATTTAAAGTTTGAAATGGCACGTAAAAACAAAGTTTATTATTACTATTTTGTTGATTTATTGCCTTTTCAAACCTATTTTAATGTACTATATTTAAAAAATGATTCCATTAATTATAATTATATTTATATTTCTCACTGCAAAATTAGAGACTTTTTTGGTAATTACTATGATAAATCCATCTATCAAGCAATTCTTAACAGGGTTTCAAAATTAATCCCACTTTTTATTTATTAGAATTTTTTATCACTTAAAACCACTCAATAAGCTATTCTAAACACACAAAAAATAAATAAATAGAAAAAGATAAAGAGTGATTAAAGTTATAATCTAACCAAATATTTTAATATGACTATAGAAAAAGAACAAATTCTTTTATAAAGATTTTGAAATAAATATATAATAGTTGGGCTTATTTGGCATAAAATTTGTTTTTAAAAAATACAGATAAGGTTGGCTAAGTTGTATTTAAACCTAAAATTAAAAAGTCCCATAAAAATATATTATTTTATGTTTATCTCGAAGTGCGGAATGAAGATAATTGTGAAGACCGAGAGAGGGATTGGTGGCAGATGGCAGCAGGAACATGGATGACGTTAGCTCAGGCGTTAAACCAAACGGAAACTTCGGATTGGTCTTTCTCCCCAAATATTAGCTTGGAACTCATCCCTTCCTCCTCCTCAGTCCCCCCTTCTTCTTCATCGCCTCTGTTTCTCCTTCACCTTCTGATTCTGCCTTCCAAAATAGCAAGGACATGGCATCATCTTACTTCCATTCCTCCCTTTCCTTGCTATTTTTGGTCGCCTTCTGCTTCCTCCATCATCATCAGGTCCTTTTACACCTTTTCCTTTTACTTTGTATATCTATATATTTTTGGATTTATCATCCCAGCTTTGGTCTGTAGCTCTTGAACCTGGCTGATACTTTGACCACTTTCCTGTCTTCTCTTGGTTTCCAATTATACGTAAATTAGTTTGACGATCTGCAGCTTGTTGGTGATCGTATTCTAGTGTACCCATAATCTAGTTTAAATCGCGAAAGAAGTTGTAAATTTATTGATAAATTCTAGAAATAGATTTGGATAACAGTAATTATGTTGTGCGGTTTACATCATAAATCGCAATTATAATTTTAATTGAGAAGGGTCTTTTAATGCTTAACCATTACTTGTCTTCAACTTTGTATATATATTTTTTGTGGGATTCCACCTTTCAACAACCCTCAACCAAAAACCTATGGATCCAAGAGGACCCATGCTAATAGTGGATTTCAGTTGATTAATCCTTTTCTGTGAAAATAAATCTATCATACACGAATATTTATGCAATTTCCTTCTAACGGAGAATGAACAACACTTGATCTGCCAATACATATGGGAGCGTTTACTAAAGAATTTCACAACCTTGCAATTTCATGAAGAACTGTGCTACATATGTTTTTTCCCATAATCTCCAAAAATTATTGGATTTGGGCAGTATGTAATAATTTCCGTAAAATGTTGATTTTTAGCCATTTCAGCTCATTTCATGAAAAGATACTGTGTAAGTGTTCATTCTTATTAAGAAATCCTATCCGATCCCTTTTCAGTTGTTATTCAATATATTGAATGCTCTGTTGATAGCAGGTCTATGCGGAGGAACAAGTTCTAAAGTTCAAACTCAACGCTGATATTCTTCAGGTACTACTGTTATGGTCAAGGATAGTTCCCATCCCCTCTACTGCTTAACCCAATTCATTGACAATGACTTTTGATCGGTTTGATTGAGCAGAAAAGATGCATAACCATTTAAATAGTAATTTCACTTTTGGGTCCCTTTGGATTTTTAGTTTCTTAGTGTTAAATCGATTAACCCGAACACTGCACCTCGATACACTTGTGTTTCTTGACAAGTTTTCTAACTAGTGAACATCTGAGTACATATTTGTTTGAACTTATCGTTTCATAAAACTTTACTGGTTAATGATATTTCTATTGTACTACCTCATCTGAAGGTGAATATTAATCTTAATTTTCATATTGATGTCTTATACTAATAAAGTAAAAATCATAATCAGCCACTTTATTTTTGTAACTGGATCTATTTAATTTGTTTAGGTTGAGTTATCAAGAACCTTTTTAATTAATGCGAAGCATCTCTAACCTGAACTGTAACCCATATGAATACTTCTTTTTTTTTTTTTCATTTTTTCAAATTTTTATATTTGTAAAAAAGAACTCCTCTAATAGTTTATATGATGTCTTGCAGGAGTCTATCGTTCGGCACGTAAACGAACACCCACACGCTGGCTGGAAAGCTGCCATGAACCCAAGTTTTTCGAACTATTCTGTAAGTTTCTACTTGCTTAATATTATTCTACTATTGATGGATGGAATTTGATTTTTTTTTTCTGAACGTCCAAAGCTTTTTCTACTTTTAATTCTTGTAAGAACTCTTTTATTGATGTTTTCACGCCATTGTTTCTTGTGCAGGTTAGCCAATTCAAGCACATTCTTGGTGTCAAACAAACTCCGGAGAAGGATTTAAAGAGCACCCCTGTTTTATCCCATCCCAAGTCTTTAAAGTTGCCAAAAAGTTTTGATGCTAGAGAAGCTTGGCCTCAGTGTATCACCATTGGAACCATTCTAGGTCAATTACTCATCTCAATTTACTGATATAAGATACAGATTATTTTTAAACAAAAACATGCTGATGCTTTTCCTTCCGTGAATGTCAAATGCTGGAAAATATCCTCATAAAGATCAGGTAATTATTTCCCATTAATTTCAATAATCTTCCTTTTCTGTATTATGATTTATGAAAATTCTCAGCCTGCCTTTACGTTTTAGGGGCACTGTGGTTCTTGCTGGGCATTTGCTGCTGTTGAGTCACTTTCAGATCGCTTTTGCATTCATTATAACATGGTTTGCCGACTACCCTTATATTCTTGTTCACTAGTATTAATGTTCAATTAACCAAATTTCTTTCCCTATTTATTGGTAATTAAATATAATATTTGTTTCAGAATATTTCTCTGTCTGTTAACGATCTTTTGGCCTGCTGTGGCTTCATGTGTGGTGACGGCTGTGATGGGGGATACCCAATTTCTGCATGGCGATACTTTGTTCGTCACGGAGTTGTTACCGAAGAGGTAATGTAGCTAATTAGAGAATGACGCTCCATGTTAATTTAAGGTTCTTCATGTGGGATTTTATTGTTACTGCTTAACATATGGCTCTTAAATTCTGTCCTTTTGCTGTTGATGAACGCTTTAAATAACTATCTGAAACCTTGCAGTGTGATCCATATTTTGACACCGATGGTTGTTCCCACCCTGGTTGTGAACCAGCATATAGTACTCCTAAATGTGTCAGGCATTGTGTAGATAAAAACCAGATTTGGAGAAAATCAAAGCACTATGGTGTTAATGCTTACAGGATTAAAAAGGATCCCTATGATATCATGGCCGAAGTTTATAAGAATGGACCAGTTGAGGTTGACTTCACGGTGTATGAGGTAAGCGAAATATCCTGCTTTGCGCTCGGTTAAATGTGCTCAAACATTAGGATAAATTTCTTGTAGTTTATATCTTTTCTGCCGCCCTACTTAAAGCAAAAGTATACATATTAGCTAGAGGATCAAGCAGTCTGATAGCAATAACAATTTAAACTATCATTAGAGGGCCATAATTTATTAGACGTCCAAATAACATGTTACTTATGCTAGAATTAAGAATAGTCAATGTACTCTTTACTTTTATATGCATGGCCTTTTTTTAATACTAAATTATTTTTACAAATATAGGAAGTGTTTTCAAGTTGAGTATTCAAAATCATTGCTCTTGTCATTGCAACATTTTGCGTGCCATTACTTATACGTTACATTTTTTTAAGTATCGTACTAGAACTGTATGATCTAAGAAATTTACTTAACAAACGCCTAATCTTTTCTATACCAGGACTGTATGTTACTCTCGTATAAAGAATCAAAGTTGAAAAACAAAATTGTGACAATTCATGGAACCATCCTCCCAAAAGCTTACGACTGATTTTTTCAAAGAATGAAGATCACTGTATTACAGAACAACTAATTTTTAGTAATTGCTTTACTATGGACACCCTCAAAATTGGAAAGTTAGTTCTAGGCGTCCAGCTAAATAATCAGGAATTTTTAGTGTTTGTGTTCATTTCTTGAGAGTTACGTGAAAATAACCTTAACATGTTTCATTAGTAGAAATCTTCTTACCTTGCTTCTAGTTGTAAAAGTAATGTTTATACCGATTTACAGGATTTTGCTCATTACAAATCTGGGGTTTACAAACATATTATTGGTGATGAGTTGGGAGGGCATGCTGTGAAGCTTATTGGATGGGGAACATCAGATGATGGAGAGGATTATTGGGTCTGCTTATACCTTTCTCTATTCTTATCTTCTAAATGGCAAGGTTGTATCCGCCAATTTTGTTGATATATTATGTTAATCACCTTCATTTTGTTGTCGCAGCTTTTGGCAAATCAGTGGAACACAGGCTGGGGTGATGTAAGTTTTCATTACATTTTGTGTACCTTTAGATTTTGTTGCCCTATGGTTACATTTGGAAGTGCTTTCGACATAACTAAAAACACTTTTGCTAGAGTCAGACCATCTCTCACTCAAAATCATTATGTTTAGTTCATAGCAGTAATAAAAAAAATAACACTCAAGAGACTCCCCCTATGAGAAAGCATTTATTGGAACATAAAAACTAAAGATCAAAGATCCTTTTACACAATTTATGTAGTAAAGTACATGTATTGAATGTACTTTCTTCTGTCCTGACTGCAATGCATTTAAATTTAAACTTCTAGGATGGCTACTTCAAGATAAGAAGAGGAACAAACGAGTGTGGGATTGAGGAAGATGTTGTTGCTGGTTTGCCCTCGCCTAGGAACATCGCCAGGGAGGCTTCCATATGAGCCACATGCTGCTGTTTCTCACTCAAGTATTTGCTAAACCAAAGATATGTTTGATTTATGTGTCTTGCTCTCAAGTCAGAACTATTTATGCATATTAGGTTGGTTTATGATTTGCTGTGTTGTACCTTAAACAAATGGTAAGATGATGTCTGGAAAGGGATTATTGAGAAAATAAAGTGTTAATATTCTTGGGAAATGATGGCCTTTACATTACACTTGAGCAGATTGGATTAGGAAGGTTTCCGTTCTTTTAAAGTTGACGGTATTAGAACCCAATACTATATAGAGTAAAGTAAATTTGTATGCATCACTTCTATACAGAGATACACCGTCTCTACACACGTCACTTTTATGCCATCAAAATGAGAGGATGTTTTGAAATTCAACTTTCACAAGAATGATAAAAATTAATTTTTGTTACGTAACCGTTTTGAAAGTTGACTTTAATCCTTTTAAAGTCAATATAGATTTCAAAACATGGTTATTTCAAATCCAAACCACCTTTATTCCCCCAAAATAATTCATATAATTGGTGAGAGGAAAGAAAGAAAACAAAAGGACAGAGAATTCAATAATAGGCTAAGAATGGCCCTCTCACCATACATAGCCAAATGTACACTCAATGACCTGGCTTATTGCAACACACTACCTTAACGATTGTAAAAGAAATGTACACGTGTGTGGACTAAACAATCGGCTAACCCAATCATTGACCAACTTTAACTTCCTCAAATATCCGCCCTTCAAGCTCGTAATGGCAGACATGCCACCTCCTAAAGCTTTACCTAACCAGCCAAACTATCAAGTCTCTAGCTACTTCGCACATGGACTCCTAAACAAGCTCGACACCTTAAAGTAAATTGAGACCCACATCTAGCCAACTAATAACTGAAAAAAAAAAATTAAAATAACACTACTGAACACATGCACATTCAAACATAAATTGATACCTTTACTAAAATCACGTCTTAAATATAATTGACTAGTAGTGTTGCAATCTCTTGTGTATTTTTAACGTTAGAATGTTCATTTTCTAGAATCTTGAAATATCTCTCGGCGATTTTTTGCTTGGTTCTCCATGTGGTGTTTCTTGTAAATGAAAGCTGCTTTAGGATATATATTGAATGTGAGCATGAATGACAAAATTTATGACAATTTTAGAGGATATAACATGAATTTAAGTATAAAAATACTGGTTAATTTAAGCTTGATTGACTAAAGTATGATTTTTTTCAAAGAAAGTTTGAATTTTAGAGGCAAGGAATATATAGATATGGTCAATGGCTTCGTCTGCACTTTCACTTTTTGTGACCACAAAACCCGAAATCAATGCGACGTTGCGTGCGCCTCTTATCCACTCGCAATTCCCCACAATCCTCGTTGTTGTTCGCCCAACCGCTCCGCCTTTCATTCCCATTCCTTCCCCTACAAACGCCTCGCCTCCCTTCTCCCTCGTCTTCTTCAATTCATGACAACGCCCCCTTTTCGATCCCGATCATCTCGTTCTTCAACATCCTATACAATCATCTTATCCCCACTTCAATTTCCCACAATTTCCCACCAACCCCACTTCCCAATTCCTCTTACCCTCTTCAATCCAAGCGATTTCAAGAGATTTGTCCTCGATTTTAATGGCCGACGCTCTCAGCAAGATCAGTTTTTCCCCCTCTCGCCCTTCCTTTTCTCCTCACCATCTTCCTCCGCCGATTTATGGCCTTAAATCCGTCATTTCTTCTTCGAATCCCTCGACTTGGAAACGGCTTTCTCTGAAATTACCATCCGCTTCGCTGTCTTTTTCGAGCCGTGACTCCTATGGCGGAAGAATTGAGTTTAGAGAAGCTAAGGGCATCTCCAGGAATTCTACTTCTCCTACACGGTCTTCGACGATATCCCATGTTGGTACCTGTATTCTTCATATCCTTGTGTTTTTTTTCCCTTTCCTATGATATTAAGGTTTTTGTTTCGAACATTCAGCTTTTTCTGTCATTTTATTATATGTTTCCCCTCGTTGGATTTTCTTTATAAATTTATTTGTCTCATTAGGTTCTCTGTGTTTAATTGTATTGGATTCTGAATGGGGAACTTAGCTGTGTCTTGTTGTTTGTGATCTGGGTTACTATGAACAGAACTAGTTACTGTATCCCTATGTTTGCTTATCCTTGATTAGCACTTGATTATGTCCGTAATCTATTGTCCATTTTGTTTGTTAACTCTTGTGTTGGTGTTTAATAGAGTGGGTTTCGAACTCCAAAAGCTCAGAAATGGTGGGAAAAGGGGTTAGAAGCTAATATGAAAGAGGTGAGCAGTGCAGAGGAGCTTGTGGATTCTCTTTTAAATGCCGGGGACAAGCTTGTTATTGTGGATTTCTTCTCCCCTGGTTGTGGTGGCTGCAAAGCTCTTCACCCAAAGGTCTCCTTTATGCTTTATTGTGTAGAAAGAACAATGTGTATGTTCCAAGTTTTACAAGTCTTGAAAAGGCTCGTATATCTATCCTCTGCAGATATGCCAATTTGCTGAGATGAATCCAGAAATCCAATTTTTGCAAGTGAACTATGAAGAGCACAAATCTATGTGTTATAGTCTTGGTGTTCATGTGCTGCCCTTCTTTCGCTTCTACAGAGGTGCTCAGGGTCGTGTTTGCAGCTTTAGCTGTACTAATGCGACGGTAACAAATCTTTAAATACATTGGAACTGTTCTGCTTTTGTAATGTTATCCTATCATTATCATTCGTAATATTGATTGTGGCTGTACATTCTTTCATAGAAGCATGCTCTTCCTTTATTTCCATTTTAATTGTCATTTAACCAGAAGGAGATCCCACATCGGTCGGAGTGGGAAACGAAACATTATTTACAAGGGTGTGGAAACCTCTCCCTAGCAGACGCGTTTTAAAACTGTGAGGTTGACGGCGATATGTAATGGGCCAAAGCGGACAATATCTATTAGCGGTAGGTTTAGGTTGTTACAACAAATGGTATTAGAGCCAGACACTAGATGGTGCGCCAGCGAGAACGGTGGGTCCCGAAAGGGGGTGGATTGTGAGATCCCACATCGGTTGGAGAGAGGAACGAAACATTCTTTATAAAGGTGTGGAAACCTCTCCCTAGCATACGCAGTTTAAAACCGTGAGGCTAGCGGGCCAAAACGGACAATATCTGATGGGTTTAGGCTGTTATAATTTTAGTCGAAGTAGATCTGTTTGTGCTTTAAATATCAAATCTCCTATTGTGGTTTATTTGCCGAGAGATGTCCGTTTAACCGGCCCGGTAGAGAATCTCCGCTTTGGGGGAGGGAGGGAGAGATATTTCTCCCTATTGATTAAATGGGGCCGATGACAGGGATTATGTTTCCCATCCCTAATGAGAATTTTGCGGGGATGGAGATGGAAATAGTACAGACGGACGTCTCTTCTACATCTGCCTCATGAGCATCAAATGTGTGGTTTGTCTCTACTAGTTTACGTGTTATTGTAGATGGTAGAGTGATAAAGAATTGGTTTGGTATGACAGATAAAGAAATTCAAGGATGCATTAGCCAAGCACAACACGGAGCGATGCAGCCTCGGCCCGACCCGAGGGTTGGAGGAGAAAGAACTCATGGCACTTGCCGCTAACAGAGAACTCTGTTTCAACTACACCCCAAAGGCAGCAGAAGAGGTCCCCATCCCCATCACCATCCATGCCCGTGCCCATGCTGGAAGTGTAAAAATATCAGAATCAGAGCCATCGCGTCTTCCTCTACCCTCAACCATCCTCCTGAAGTCTGCTGCCCAAACCTCCAAGGGCAATGCCTATGTGGGATGAAGCATCCTATCCTATCCTTAATACCTGTGCTCTTCTTGCCTGTAAAGATAATAGATGCACCAAATTTGTAGGGTTTTCTTTTTTGGCTTGGATCCCTACCTCTGCTGTGTGATTAATATTTATACATATATAGTGTTACCCGTTGTCTCTACACGGTTGTATAGACCTTCTCTGCAAAGTTATGAATACAGAACTTGTGAAACATTGTAATTACTCAAATAATCAAGAAACTTATGAGTACCACTCATATGATTCAATGGTATCAACTTCTTTAACCACCATCATATAATGCAAATTGGAGTGGTATGCTTTTAAATTCATGCATGCATTCCAATCTTTGATTCAAGCCCATTTCCACAATCAAACCAACCAAAAATGTTACTCAATCTCATCCATTTTGTTTGGATTGGATGGGTCATAGGTTTATAAATGAAAAGAAAAATGTCTTTTTCAAGAATATGTTCGTTTTCTCTTTCGGTAGAAAGCAAAAGTTAAAGAGAAGTACTCGTACTAATTTAACTGTACAAGTTTTCGACAAACTAACGTATCAAATCACGAATGCGTAATATTAAATTGAATACCTTTATTAGTTGGATATCGTATAGTCGTGACACGTTAATTATCATCGTAATTATAACAAAATTTAGTTTCATTATTTTATAATATAGTCTTAAATATGTATAGAATCATAGGGAAATGTGTAGGAGGTTGAGTTTTGTGAGACATTATTAATAACATATGGTTGGAATTTTTGAAATAAATGTACATTCAAATTATGGTTACATTAGCATTTATTTTCCACAGAAATATATTCTGATGGGGATCGGTTTGGGTGCCAACTAATATATGAAAATGGTATGCGAATATATGCCTGAAAATGACATGTTGACTCGAAAATAAAACTATATAATATAATTATAATTTGGAGATAGGGTAAATTAATTGTTAATTAATGAATTAGTATAAATAAAAAGCAAAGGAAAAGAAAGGTGGGAAAGAACCCATTTTTTGTGGCATTAACGAGAGAAGAATATATAAGTTCTTGACTTGCAGAATCTGACCCTATAAAAACATATTTCTTATGATCATCTCTTGTTCTCATTCTCAACGAATATAATACCATTTTCACAACACTTTTCCACAACGAATACCATTCCGTGGTCATTTCTCGCTTTCTTTCTCGACGATGTTGCCCTCATCCATGCCCTATGCCTATGTTACGATACCCTCGTGTCGGTCATGCATGCATATTATCGAATAAGATATATATATATATATATATATAACAGGGATGTAATGATATGTATACGATGAAATGAATGGGTTAGAGTTTGATCTGGAATACAAGCGCGAACTATATCGTAAATGACTCGACCAAAATGAAAACGGTCATGATATGTATCAAACTGACGGTGGATTAGGGTTAGAGTTAGAGTTTATTTGGAACATAGGCTTGAAATCTATCTAGTGAAAGTATCAAACCAACAATGGGTTTGGGTTAGGGTTAGGGTTAGATAATTTGGAATATGGAAATTGATTTTGTTGTGGAGAAAGAAGTGAAAAGTTAAAGAAGGAAGTCATAAAAAGGGCACCAAATCCCTTAACCTTTGTTTGTGTATATATTCCCTATCCACATGCCACCACCACCTTACTGTTTAGGAATTCCCTGCTTTTCAACTCTAAAGCCAAAAATTCTTAGGTTCCTCTATATATACATACACACACATATATAATATATATATATATATGAACATAATTAATATATATCTTTCATAATTAGGCATTAGCTTAGTTGTGGGGATAGATGGGCATATTTAGCCAGAAACGTTGCGTTTAATTCCCGAGGGATCAGAATCTTATTCATTGCCATATTGGGTTATTATTTCATTATCAAAACTATTTTTCTTTTATTCATTTTTTTTTCTTCTTCTTTTTGGACTGAATAAGTACCAAACTTAGTGAAGCAGACAAAACAGAACCAATTCCTTTGTTCCTTTCTTTCTCTCATATGTATCTAATCTAACCTTACACTCCTAGGTTTGGGTCCTTTTGGCCTACCTTCTTCCGAATCTTCTTCTAAATTCTCCGACCATGCTCTACTTCTCATCGCCTCGTGTTCGACCCGCCCTCTACTTCGGTTCCTACTTACCCTAATTCATATCTTAACCTTTTGGTCCACCAGTGATTTGACATGGTATCATAGTAGAACTTGTTGTTCCGTCCTTATTCATTTCGTATGATATTCTACTTACCCTAAATTCTAATCTATCTTCTTCAGCTTCTTGTCTTAAAAGACAATATATAGGTATAAAAAGGGTTGGAGTACAATTTTGTCTTCCTAAATTTTTGGAACAACAACATCATAAATATAAAATTTTGTCTCCATTTCTTGTTCTATCCTTAGTAACAACTTTCCAGTTTTGATTAAGAGTTCCTGTTGCAGGGGTACTTTTCAATAGCGTCATAATTTAGACACGATCATGCCAAGATTTAAGGAGAATTTAACCCTCATTATAATTGTTTCGTCCGACTTTAGATGAGGATCGAAAACAACTCATGCAAAAACTAAGCCTTATTTAACCATATATGCGGCACATACATGCATGCATGCTCACTTGATTGCAATGGTAGCCAACTTGTTTATACTCTATGTTAAGTCTTTTAGCTCAACTCATTCCTACTTTAATCTAAGGTCCTTCAAATGTAACGTCGCATCTCATCTCATCACCTTGGGTTCGTGATACCATTCTAAGTCTTGAGACGTCATTGGTCTTCATTGCTCGTTTGAGCACGCTTATCAAGAATTGACCTCATAAGTCAATCATATTATAGGTAGGTGTGTTTAAACATGGGCATGGGAGAGAAGTGGAAAGAAAAGAATAGGATATTTAGAAGAGAATGTTGGGTTGAGTCGGGTCGGGTTGGATTGGAAGGAAGTGGGGGGTTTGAGCCTTGAGAGGCGAGAGGCGAAAGGGACAGTGGATTATTCGGCCTTAAAAGAAGAAAAAAGATTCGTTGGAATGAGATTCCAGTTCCAAATTCCAAATTCCCTCCATGGAACACGAATTTGGTTTTTGCTTTGTGAAATGGGATCGATTCTGGCACCAAATGAACGGAAGGCCTCCGCTGTTTGTGTGACCAAGTTTGTTTATAAGCCCTCCCTCCCTCCCTTCCCCCACCCATTTGATCTCACAAGCTTAGAATAATAATAGTAATAATAATGTACCACCATCATCAGCAGCAGCAGCAGCATCATCAGCATAATAGAGGGAAGAGCATCCATTCCTCTGACACCCATTTGTTTCTTCAACCTGGGAATGCAGCTGCTGGAGCTGGAGATTCATCAGGCCTTGTTCTTTCCACCGATGCCAAGCCCAGGCTTAAATGGACTCCTGACTTGCACGATCGCTTTGTTGAAGCTGTGAACCAGCTTGGAGGGGCTGACAGTGAGCACGCCCACTTCATTTCGTTTCATTTCATTTCTTAATTACTTCTCTCCCTTTCCACTCATTTCATTGCATCCTCTCTCTCTGCAGAGGCCACTCCTAAAACTGTCATGAAAATCATGGGCATTCCTGGCCTTACCTTGTACCACTTGAAAAGCCATCTCCAGGTACAATATATTATACTACTTTTTAATTATTTACTCCCACCCACTTATTCCCTCAATCCAACTATAAAAATTTTGGGTTTGATTCGGTTCAACCCACTTTTATTTTAACCCAACTCAACCCAGATAGTAGTGGATTAGGTTGTTCAAATAATCACATTCGTTGAACATCTGTGGTAATTCGTGAACGTAACCCAACCCAAATGGTGAATTCGGTTGGGTTAATCGGGTTTTTCATATCATCGTGGTATAATATTTGTAGTAATTTGTGGTTGAAAAGTGGTTATTTGAATTGAATGGGGATTTAAGATTGATGGGGGGTTTTTGGGATGCAGAAATACAGGCTGAGTAAGAATGTGCATGGACAAGCAAATGGTGGAGGAAATGGAAGCAACAAAACTGGTAAGGAACAAAATATGATTATATTATATTATATGTGGTTTTAATTTATGAACTGAGTTGAAGTAGATATGGGTTGGCGTGTAGGGACAGTGGCGGCTGTTTACGGCGATCAAAGACTGGCGGCGGAGGCAAATGGAACAGCCCGCACCAACAACATAGTGGTCGCCCCACAGCCCTCCTCCCACCCCAACAAGTACGCGCCCACTTTCGGAATACCCTTATTTTAACGTACACGAATGCATGCAGCTTAGTTCTTGTTATAATTATTTACTCCCTTCTCCAGAAGCCTTCAGATCAGTGAAACAATACAGATGCAGATTGAAGTCCAGAAAAGGCTGCACGAGCAGCTCGAGGTACTTAAATCAACATTCATTGTATTAAGAATGGTATCATATTGTCCACTTTAAGTATAAGTTCTAGTGGTTTTGCTTTGAGCTTTCCCCAAAAGGCCTCGTGCCAATTGAGATGTATTCCTTACTTAAACATAGGTACAACGGCACTTGCAGCTGCGAATAGAAGCACAAGGGAAGTATCTTCAAACAGTGCTGGAGAAAGCACAAGAGACACTAGGAAGGCAGGACTTGGGGTCAGTGGGTCTTGAAGCTGCAAAAGTGCAGCTCTCGGAGTTGGTCTCCAAGGTCTCCACTCAATGCCTAACCGCAGCGTTTCCAGAGCTCCAACAAACTCAGAGGCTATGTCCTCAACAAACGCAGCCCCCTGACTGCTCCATGGACAGTTGCCTGACCTCCGGCGAGGCCTCCAAGGACCAACGACGACAACAACAACTCCTTCTCCATAACTCCCAACACGCCCTCCGACCGAAAGCCATCGCCACCGACCATCATGGGCTGTCCATGAGCATTGGGCTGCTGCAGGGGGACAAGGGCGGGGAAGGGGATAATGGGTATTCGCCCTCGTTTGGGAGTAAGAAAAAGGAGGGTGAGGCGGCGTTTCGATATAGAATGGCAGCTTCGTTTTTGGACTTGAATGCTGGTGAGGATCAACAACTTGGTAATAATGATCATGCGGCTTCTGCTACTTGCAAGATGTTTGACCTCAATGGCTTTAGTTGATTCACTTGTTGTCCTTGTTAAATATACACATCTTTATATAATTGGGACTTACATTCCTGCACTTTAACAAATCTCGACGGTTCCGGTTTTTGTTCTACAAACACAATTCGAGTAGAGGAAAAATAATTCATATGACACAAACTAGAAGGTGACACGTGAGTGGTGCCCATCAGG